TCTAACAAAAAAATTAATTTTTTAAAAAAATGACCGAATACGTTTCACAGCGAGAAAAAATAAAAGGCAAGATAGAATTTTCTAGACATAAAGAAGTTGTTTACCGAGTTTTAGCTCTTATCTCTAACAAAAAATTAATTTTTAAAAAAAAATGACCGAATACGTTTCACAGCGAAGAAAAAAATAAAAGGCAAGATAGAATTTTCTAGACATAAAGAAGTTGTTTACCGAGTTTTAGCTTCTTATCTCTAACAAAAAATTAATTTTTAAAAAAAAAATGACCGAATACGTTCACAGCGAGAAAAAAATAAAAGGCAAGATAGAATTTTCTAGACATAAAGAAGTGTTTACGAGTTTTAGCTCTTATCTCTAACAAAAAATTAATTTTAAAAAAATGACCGAATACGTTTCACAGCGAGAAAAAAAATAAAAGGCAAGATAGAATTTTCTAGACATTAAAGAAGTTGTTTACCGAGTTTTAGCTCTTATCTCTAAACAAAAAATTAATTTTTAAAAAAAGAACGAATACGTTTCACAGCGAGAAAAAAAATAAAAGGCAAGATAGAATTTTCTAGACATAAAAGAAGTTTTTACCGAGTTTTAGCTTTATCTCTAACAAAAAATTAATTTTTTAAAAAAATGACGAATTACGTTTCAACAGCGAGAAAAAATAAAAGGCAAGATAGAATTTTCTAGACATAAAGAAGTTGTTATCGAGTTTTAGCTCTTATCTCTAACAAAAAATTAATTTTTAAAAAAATGACCGAAATGACGTTTCACAGCGAGAAAAAAATAAAAGGCAAGATAGAATTTTCTAGACATAAAGAAGTTGTTTACCGAGTTTTAGCTCTTATCTCTAACAAAAAATTAATTTTTAAAAAATGACACCGAATACGTTTCGCAAGCGAGAAAAAAATATAAAAGGCAAGATTAGAATTCTAGAAGAAGTTGTTTACCGAGTTTTAGCTCTTATCTCTAACAAAAAATTAATTTTTAAAAAAAATGACCGAATACGTTTCACAGCGAGAAAAAAATAAAAGGCAAGATAGAATTTCTAGACATAAAGAAGTTGTTTACCGAGTTTTAGCTCTTATCTCTAACAAAAAAATTAATTTTTAAAAAAATGACCGAATACGTTTCACAGCGAGAAAAAAATAAAAGGCAAGATAGAATTTTCTAGACATAAAGAAGTTGTTTACCGAGTTTTAGCTCTTATCTCTAACAAAAATTAATTTTTAAAAAAATGACCGAATACGTTTCACAGCGAGAAAAAAATAAAAAGGCAAGATAGAATTTTCTAGACATAAAGAAGTTGTTTACCGAGTTTTAGCTCTTATCTCTAACAAAAAATTAATTTTTAAAAAAATGACCGAATACGTTTCACAGCGAGAAAAAATAAAAGGCAAGATAGAATTTTCTAGACTAAAGAAGTTGTTTACCGGAGTTTTAGCTCTTATCTCTAACAAAAAATTAATTTTAAAAAAATGACCGAATACGTTTCACAGCGAGAAAAAAATAAAAGGCAAGATAGAATTTTCTAGACATAAAGAAGTTGTTTACCGAGTTTTAGCTCTTATCTCTAACAAAAAATTAATTTTTAAAAAAATGACCGAATACGTTTCACAGCGAGAAAAAAATAAAAGGCAAGATAGAATTTTCTAGACATAAAGAAGTTGTTTACCGAGTTTTAGCTCTTATCTCTAACAAAAAATTAATTTTTAAAAAAATGACCGAATACGTTTCACAGCGAGAAAAAAATAAAAGGCAAGATAGAATTTTCTAGACATAAAGAAGTTGTTTACCGAGTTTTAGCTCTTATCTCTAACAAAAAATTAATTTTTAAAAAAATGACCGAATACGTTTCACAGCGAGAAAAAAATAAAAGGCAAGATAGAATTTTCTAGACATAAAGAAGTTGCTTACCGAGTTTTAGCTCTTATCTCTAACAAAAAATTAATTTTTAAAAAAATGACCGAATACGTTTCACAGCGAGAAAAAAATAAAAGGCAAGATAGAATTTTCTAGACATAAAGAAGTTGTTTACCGAGTTTTAGCTCTTATCTCTAACAAAAAATTAATTTTTAAAAAAATGACCGAATAGTAGTATATAATGCGGGTTTTGTGACTTTTTTTGTAAACGTACGAATTCATACAATATCGAGCGATTTTGTATCATTTTTTTTAACATATGAAGTAAAAAATGTATGATTCTTACGGTTTTTATTCTTACGTTTTTGAATAAATCAAGATTTAAAAAATTTTCAAAATTGTAAGACATTTACACTAAACCCATACATAATGAAATAAAAAAAATAAAAAAAATAAAAAAATAAACTTTAAAAATTCATGTCTTACATTTTTGAATAATTTATTTTTTAATTTGTATGAAAATGAGTGGATCAAGATTCGTAACCGTCAATCAATTAATGGATGCTCTTTCACCAATTCTTGAAAATGTTAAACAAGTAGATGTTTATTTCGATGATTATGTAGAAAGTTTATATTATAAAGGTAAGTTTAATATTAAACCTATTGCTTTTGCATTTGATAATAAATTAATTGAAAATGCAAAAATTTGGGAATTAATTCCAGATATTGAATATATAACAAATATTAATGATAAATGGTTTAAACGAATTCCAACCACAAAAGTTCTTTGTAAATTAATGATCAAAACTGAGGAAAAAGAATTTAACGGGTTTAAATATCATCCAAATAAAGTTTCAGAACTAGAAAATGAAAAACTTCAGAAAAAATTAAACGATAGACTTTCAAATGATCGTATTGAAAAAATAAATAAACTAGCAGAAGTTGCATTTAATAATGAAATATTTGATGAATATAACCTTGAACTCAGTGATGGGCTTTAAGGACCCGGGCTCAACGAGTCATGATTTATGAAATCAATAATTTGATTATTCGCTCTTCAATAATTTCTATTCTTTTTGTTAAATCATCAATTTTCATTAATGAGGTGATTCTTGATTGAGGAATAGATTTCAAACTAACCACTCCTTTTATTTTTGAAATTTTGAATCCATCAACTTTAAACATTTTATTCAATTTACATGTTGTCAATTCTTCAAATAATTTTTTATTATTAGCATAATAGTCATTAAATTCTTCAACAGATGAAAAAATTTTTATTTCAGTAATTGGTTTAACAACGTTTATTTTTTGTTGAACATTTTCACTTTCATTTATTTCTTCCTCCTCTGTTTCATTTATTTTTAAAATGGTTTCATTTATCATTAAATAAAAATTAGAATATAAGTGATGAAATATATTTTTTAATTAATATTAAATCAGAAATGGCGGCAGGATTCTTTAAAAAATTATGGGATGGAATTAAGAAAGCTGCAGGTTGGGTTTATAAAAAGGTTATTAAACCTGTTGCAAACTTTTTGGCACCAGTAGCGAAAACGGCAGGAACTATCATAGGTGGAGTATTAGGTACTAAAGCAGGTAATCCGGCGATGGGAGCACAAGCAGGTAACGCAATTGGTGGAATTGCTGAAGGAATACTTAATAAAATAGGGGTAAATAGTGGAAAAATAAATAAATATTATTTTTATCTTAGTATTGGTTGTAGTCTTTGATAAACTTTTTCTCCTTTATTTAAAATTTCTCTTATTGGGGCAGCTTTTGGTGTTATTGATTCAGCAACGTCACTAATTGCTTCTTTATTCTTAAATATCCAATTTGCTCCTTTCTTCATTGTTTCCCAAACTTTATGCGCTCCTCTTTTTACTTTATCCCACAGTTTCTTAAAGAATCCTGCAGCCATAGTTGATTATTTCATTAAAATTAAAAATTCATTTTCATCTTTTAATTTTGATTTTTTATTTAATAATAAATGACGACTAACTATTTGGTGCCAAACACTAAACCAATTAATGGAAATGTGTTTCATTCATTCGAAAAGATAAATGAAATATTCGCAAAGAATGACGGTAGAAGATATTATAGAGAACTTGAAAGTTCATGCTATGACTCTGATGCTCCATATTTTGATGATAAACAAACTCATTTAAGAATTACAAATCCGGCTCATGATGTGAACCAATTAGGTGACACATATATTAAACGCAAAGTTAAAGCAACTCTAGTTTCAAATAAAGCTTTCACATGTGATGCCGCTTTTAAATATGCGTTTATTCGTTGGTTACAAATCATCAAATCAAAGCTTTAAACAATTAGAAGTAGAAACCGAAAGAGGTGATGCCGGTTATCTTCAGATGGATTGCGCCCGTGAATCTTTCGCATTTGCAACATATAAACCAAAATCAGAAAGGAAAGTTAAAAAGTTTGTTCATTCGTTATATAATAATGTTCAAAAATATGATAACTCAGTATGTGGTAAATATATTGACCCTTCAGAAGTTTTCAAGAAAGCAAATGAAGAAGTTGATATCACTTTTGATATGATTATTCCGGTAAATGATTTGTTAGCATTTCAGGCGTTCGATGATTATCCTAAATCATTTGGTGAAATCATTCTTAAATATTATGTTTTCAGGGATACTTTAGTATTTTGTCAGGTTGACCCGTTAAGAGTTGCTGATTTACAAAATTACGTTTATGAAAAGATAACTGATGAAAATTATGAAAAGATTATGAATCATGTTTATAAATATGATCGCAAATTCCAACAAATCGGACTTCCTGCCAAATTAATTACAAGCTTAGCCGCTACATCTGCTGACGCAACAGTTGATGACGTTATTATTTCATGCACAAAGATGGAAGTTTTAGAGGATAAATGCATTACACCAGGATACGGTTTAATTGAAGAATCAGTTAAAGCAATACCACGTTTATTCAGTAAGGAAGATCCATTCATGATTCCAGCTCAACATATTGACGTTCGTTCACTAAATGGAGGTTGCATCACTCCTGAAGGTATCAGCTCAGATTTCTCATACGCTCTTCATAATGTTACAGATGTTGTGTTAGCATTTCCGAAGAATGCAATGCAAAGAACAGTTTTAGAAAATCCAATGCTTCGAGGTCTTCAGGTCACTATAGATTCCAGAAACTTCCCCGATCAAGCGATGACCACAGTGGGTGACATATTCTTTACACGTATGCTTCAAGCTTCTGATTTAGATGGAGTGAATGAATGCACGGAAGAATACGAGGACTCATTAACTAGACCACTGAATGATGATAATGGCACGCCATTAGCTAGAACATGGAAAGACCAAACTTCATTCTTATGCACTATTCCAGTTCAACGTGATGGAGCGGGTATATTCTTTGATGGATTAGAAACTTTCAACTCACAAGTTACAGTACAAGTGAAAGCTTATCCAATCATTCAGGGTGTAAATGACACTTACTGTTCAAAGGTGACAAATCCTCCTCAGGTTTGGTTTACTAGGACTACGTATTGGACATGGACACCGGATGAAGGTTTGAAATATCATCCAACAGGTACACCACCACAGTATAGAAGTTCATATGATGAAATATTGATGAATAGAAATGTATAAAATTATAAATTTATTTTTGATTAAATGGATTTAAATTCTGAAGAATTAGCGGGAGTATATAATACATACGTAGATGATATGATTAATGAAGCATTGAGTGATAATAGAAATGCTCTATCTAAGGAAAAATTAATGAAAATTCCATATTCTGAATGTTACTTAAATTCAATCACTGCAGCAATTGGTAAACAAAATAAAGGTAAAACATTAACGATATTAAAACAAATTATCATTATTGCTAACACTTCCCCCATTCACATGTGTTAATTTATATCAACCGTTCAGGTTCACCTTCAGATGATACATTTGAATCTTTAAAGCATTTAATCAAAATTCCAATTATTTATTTATCACAAGAAGAAGCAGAAGATTATTTAAAAAACTTTTTAATGTATAAAGAATTATATAATACAATCAAGAAGCAAGGATTAGAGGATAAAATTATTGATAAACAACGGGATGAATTATTTGAAACACTTTCTATTTCAAATTTTGATAGAGAATTTTTGCATTCACTCATTTTTCTAGATGATGCGGTGAAATCAAAACTAATAACAAATGAGAAATCATATTTTAATCAGTTATTAACTCAATGTCGACACATTCAGTGTTCATTCTTCATGGCTGTTCAATACTTCAAAGCATTAAGCACAAACATTAAATCAAATCTATCAACACTTTTCATTTTCAGTGGTTTTAGTCGTCAACAGTTGAACGTTATGCTTTATCAAGTGAATTTACCAATGAGCATTAATGAACTTTACACACAATATCAGCAATTAGGTGAACATGGAAAAATAATAGTTGATTTAAATAAAGGATGTGTTAAATTTGATTAACTTTTTATAATTAATTTTTTATTTTTTATTTATAATTAAACATGACAGAAATAGCAAATCTTCTACAGGTTCCATTAAAACAAGGGACAAACAAAAAGGGGGGTGTGTATAATAGAACTATGAAAGTTCCAGACGGAATGAAAGAATTAGTTCATATTGTTGCTGGTCTTCAAAAGGATGTAAAACAAATGAGAAACGTTTTAACATTACCAGAAGCTCAAGCATATGCCAAACGTCATGGTCCAAATTGGGAAGCACACGAAGCAGACATTACAGGTCCAAATGGAAAGCCTGATGGTATAAATGAAGTTTTCGTTACTGATGGTCGAGGTAATATTAAAGTCATAAATGGTTACAAATTAACTGTATCTGATTATCCTAAACGTAAAGCATATAATGAATGTTATCCTATGCAATTTGATGAAAATGGAAAAGCTGTTAAACAATACATTGGAGAAGGTGAACATGGTCCAATTAATTCATACCGTCATAATCCATATTCTTATTTCAATGAAGAATTAAACGCTATTGAAGAAGGACCGGATGGATTACCACGATATGTTAATCAGTTTGATGGTCAATATGCAAATTTGAGACCTGAAATTCCAGCTAAGAAATTCTTTAAAGTTGCTTTATTCGATCCAGTGTTCAATGAACAGAAAGAAGCAATGAAAGCAGAATTTAAACCAATTCAAGTGGCAAGAATTTCTTCATCTTCACTTGCAGAAGCGTTCAAGGAATTGATAAAGAAACCACTTTATTCTCAACAAGGTTATAACTTTGATTTAATTAAAGAAAGTGATAGACGTAAATTAGAAAAATCAGATGGTTTTAAGAATGCATGTAATGAAATGATTAAAGATATTGTAAATGATAAAATAAGACTGGAAGAAACTCAAAGCAATATCAATAACATTATTGGTGCAGTTACAAAGAAAGTATAAGCAAACAATGATGAACCTTGGGATATTACCGTAACAACTAAATAAAACTTTAAATATATATTTTTCTTTTTTATTCAATTATAAATGAGAAGACGTTTCACAAGTCAAAAGAACACAAACGCAAAAGCAGAGATTACGGTTGGTTATAACGTAAATGATGATAAATCACGAATTATTCAAAATGTTAAAGTTAATGTTAGCCCTGAATTAACAAGGTCAGCAACTCAACCAAATTTATTAACTCGTGACTTACCGAAGAATGAGGAGAATGAAGAAAACCATGAGAATGGAGACCCAATCATTTTATCTGAACCCGGTAAAGAACCGTTGAAATCCCCACATATCCAACATACCCCCACCTCTTTCATCAAACATCGAGAACCCAGGAATATACGATTCCAGTCGCAATGCGCCATATAAAATAGACATTAATTCTGAATTAATGAAAATTTACCGTGATATAATAACTGATAATTATGATTCAATAATAAATTTAATTGATCAATCCGGTTTAATTATTTTACCTTATGAATCATTAATTCACATTATCGCCATTCTTTGTGATGTTCAAGATTCAGACGTTAAGATTCAATTTTTCATAGATGATGAGGTTTCATGCTGCGGAACAGTTGCAAAAATAAATCCTATAAAGGATATTAGCACAATTAAGATATCAAAGAACGGAACAACAACTGAACTTCATTTAACATATAATGATATTTATAATAAAATAGTTGATGAATATAAAATATCACTTGAAAAATTCTTTGTTAAGGCTATTTAATATTCAAGCATTAACATTATGAATAATAATCCTTTGAATCATAATCAATAATAATTGACCTTTCACCAGTTTCTATCGTTTGTTTTATTTCTTTTTGTTCCCCACTATCTGGATCGGTCATTGTAATTGTTTTTGTTATAGTATCAGCTTTATCTTTAACTTCAATTTTTTCCATCAGGATATTTAAACCAAAATTCCAAAAATTCGATATTGTCAATCTGTTCATATTTTAATCTATCAATTGCATTTTTAATACCATCTGAAAATCTTATGAAATGGTCATTATATGGGTTTGATTGAACTAAATTTGAATGAAGTGAAATATAACCCGATGATGAATATGACATTGACTCATATTTTCTGAAAACACTGAAATTTATAACATGAATGAATTTCTTATTCGTTGAATTTATGAATTCTTGAGGTAATCTTATTCTAGTTTTATTTATCACTGGAAAATAACGCTTTACCATATTTTTAATCGTAATAAAAATGTCAATTATCAATATTATTTCGAATAATAGTTGTGAATTAAATTTAACAGTTAGTGGAATTTATAATGTTACTCTCGTTTCTGTGAGTGGTAAATTTAATCCCATTCTTTTAGACCCTTCAGATTATATATCATTTATTAAAGGTGACCATGAAAAAACGTATGATATGCATATAAATAATGTGATAACGAAATGGGATATTAACACAATTTTAAGTTATTTAAATGAATCATTTATCGTTTGGTATGAAGAAAATTTTAAATCAAAACCTGATAAACTTTTTGAACTTGATGAAATAAATAACCTTATTAAATTCCCGCTGAAAATTAAATTTTGTACTCCTCATCTTCGTTCATTGTTGGGAATATTAAATTTTGAAAAAGATGTTGGGGATGTTTTGTATTCTGACCGGTTCCAATTTCATTTTAATCAAATGTGATAAAGTTAATACCCCAATGAGATTTTCACATCAAACATTAGACCCTAACTCTTACCCATCAATACAAAACATTTTATCCATCAACTTAAACATATTTTCTTTATCATATCCGTTTCAATTATCCGGGAATTCATTTATTCTTCATTCAAAAGATTTATCAAATATTAAATTTAGAGTAACTGACCTATTTGATTGTGATTTAGAATTCATGAATGAAATATTATGGCAATTTCAAATAGAAAAAATAGCTGATGAGATAACGGATTAAATATTTATTTTTAAATCATAATAAATGATTAAACAACAGCAACCACAGCAACTTAAGGCACAGACCATTACATACGCCACATATGCATATAATTCAAAGACGGCAGAACAAACGCAAAGGTTGAAATATGGAGATTTGGAGATAGTATTGAAAAATGACCATTTCGAATTCGTTTGCAAGGGTGGTGCAGTGATATCAAATATAAAAGAAATTTTATTTATGAATTCAAAAATTAAAGGAATAACGGATGATATAACATCAATTCCACCAGAAGAACAAAGATATTACGCATTAAATGCATTTCCTAAAGTTTTGAAGATTGGAAGATTTAATTTAAATGAGGAATTCATAAAAGGTTTCCTAAATGACATAATGAAGAAAGCAGATAAGGAATATGTCAACAGTGAGTTAAATAAGAAGGCAGATAAGGAATATGTGGTTAGTGAGTTAGAGAAGAAGGCAGATAAGGAATATGTGACTAGTGAGTTGGAGAAGAAGGCAGATAAGGAATATGTCAACAGTGAGTTAGAGGAGAAAGCAGATAAGGGACTTGTGGCTAGTGCATTAATGAAGAAGGTAGATAAGGAATATGTCAATGAAAAAGATAATGAAATTAAAGAAATGGTTGGATGGTATCATGAATGGACATCAAAGATTTTAAAAACTAAAGCTGATACGGGGTGGGTTTCAGAATGTTTAGACCTTAAAGCGGATAAAACTTATGTCAACAATGAGTTAGAGAAGAAAGCAGATAAAGAATATGTGAATGAAATATACCAAAGTTTGATAGGAACAACTAAAAATATTGAAACTATTGCTGGTGACTTTTCCGTCTATGAAGAAAATAAATATTTTAGAGGGCAATTGGTACATTCCTTAAAAAATGGTATGCAGTGTAAACTCATTCCGAAAAATAACAATGAAATGTATGTAAGTTATAAAAAGAATGATGACATACAAGTTAAAGTTCCATTAGACAACAACTGTTACTTAAACTTATATGGAGACGAACAAAAGAAATATTTAAGAGTTTATGAAATGACGGATATGACATTGTCTAACGTAGCTCCAGCACCGTATTATTTCGACTATGGAGATGATGTCAGAACGCCGCATGTAGATGAACAAAAGCAAACATTATATTTAGATTATTATAGATATAAAAGATATAATGCAATAGAAAAAACGAGAATAGTATATTATTATATAGATGACAAAAATAAATATTATAG